GACGTTCGCATTGACACGGTGAATCGTGCTCGTGAAAAGGTCATTGCTCCACCGGGCCAACTGATCGCCAATATTCACTGTAAATGCACCTGGGACTACTGGCACAGGGTGCCATTGGTACACCTTGCTCTCCTCAGACATCGTGCAGACTTCTAACCCTGGAGATGTCGTCAACAAGATGGTGAGCGGGCCCCAGTCCGTGTGCCCATCAATTCGAGCTTCCTCGGGAGAAGGCTGGCAAGGCCAGGACCACGCAGCTTTCATCAAGCCTCTGTTGAGCCCTATCTGATTGAAGAGGTACTGCGGATCAAGAGACCGCCCAGTTGCCTTTGACAAAGCGAGGGAAAGTATTTCCAGCATCACCTTCTCTACCCGCTGCACTTCGGAATAGTAGCTGTCGACATGGTGGCTGAATCCATCCACAAAGTCTGGGTAGCTGTTCTCACCGTATGCTGAGCCGCCGAGGTGTTCTGGAGGACCGAACGAGAAGCACTCTCTGAGACAGGCCGGTCCAGCGCGGCCGAGTAAGACTTTGACATTCTCGCTCTTGTATGGGACGTAACCACGCTCGGTTCCGTGAGAGGACTTTGAAACGCATCGCTGCTTTTGCTCCACAGGGCTTCGAAAGAAGGTTTCGAGGGCAATTAGAGCAGAATCGATGATGTGTTGAGGGACCCCATGGCCTACAACGTTCATGAAGCCTGGGTGTTGAGCCGCAGCGAGGACCTGATCAACAACTCTATCTCGGTCAGCTTGCGTTGCCCTACTGACATGCACAAAGCAGGAGATGTCCACCAGAGGTACTTGGGCAAGCGGTGGCACATTTGCAGAGGCAAGCCCCGCATCAGCCTCAGCAATCGCGCTATTGGTTCGCTGCCACATCTGACGGTGCCCACCGTCCACAGGCTTTGGCGCAAACCCTGCAGCATCCCCAATTGCAGTCGCCATATTGCTCCTCCAGGAAAGGACCCAGATGTCAAACGGCCCAGGCCAACGACTGGATAGCGCCAAGACAGCTTGAACCGACTGACTACAGAAAAAAAATGCTAAACTGGGGCAAAGTTCTGGCAGGGTACCGGCTAGGTCCCAGCAAGGTCTCGGCAAGGTCCCGGCAGGTTCGGATCAGAGATGTCGGAACTCCTGGGCGCGGCTTCGGGCCCCCCCCGAGCACCCCCAATGAGGCGCCAAAAGGGTGGCACGCCCCACGGCCTCAGGCCGAGAGCGTTCCAAGATGGCCCACGTTGATCCCAACGCGGCCGAAGAAGCGCCCAAGACGCTCCAGGAGGGTTCCAAGAGGACTTCGAGAGGCCCCGAAGACGCAAGACTTATTGATGTTGCGTGGGTTTGGGGACGATTTTGACGGTACCACCTTTTCGAGCAACTGACCGCCCTGGACGGCCCAAGAGGCCACAAGCTTGCTTCAAAACATTATCCTGGCGAAGGACCCAACCATATGCAATTGTGAATACTGCAATTGTAAATATCTTCTCGGTGGAGCCCCCTACGGGGCCACGAAACGTACGAGGGGTGTGCCGAAATGGGTGTGCGGGACGCATGCGGGCACACCCACTGGGGCCTTCGGTGGAGCTCTCTATGGGGCCAAGAAACGTGTGAGGGGTGTGCCGAAATGGGTGTGCGGGACGCATGCGGGCACACCCACTGGGACCTTCGGCGGAGCTCCCTATGGGGCCACGGAACGCGTGAGGGGCGTGCCGAAATTGGTGTGGCTGACGCATGCGGGCGCGGGCACTGGGGCCTTCGGCGGAGCTCCCTATGGGGCCACGGAACCTGTGACGGATGTGCCGAAATGGGTGTGCGGGACGCATGCGCATGTGAGCGCCGCCACTGGGGCCTTCGGTGGAGCTCCCTATGGGGCCACGAAACGTATGAGGGGTGTGCCGAATTGGTTGTGCGGGACGCATGCGGGCGGCAGCACTGGGACCTTCGGCGGAGCTCCCTATGGGGCCACGAAACGTGTGAGGGGTGTGCCGAATTGGGTGTGCGTGACGCATGCGGGCGGCAGCACTGGGGCCTTCGGCGGAGCTCCCTATGGGGCCACGAAACGTGTGAGGGGTGTGCCGAAATGGGTGTGGGTGACGCATGCGGGCGCGGGCACTGGGGCCTTCGGTGGAGCTCCCTATGGAGCCACGAAACGTGTGAGGGGTGTGCCGAAATGGGTGTGGGTGACGCATGCGGGCGCGGGCACTGGGGCCTTCGGTGGAGCTCCCTATGGAGCCACGAAACGTGTGAGGGGTGTGCCGAAATGGGTGTGGGTGACGCATGCGGGCGCGGGCACTGGGGCCTTCGGTGGAGCTCCCTATGGAGCCACGAAACGTGTGAGGGGTGTGCTGAAATGGGTGTGGGTGACGCATGCGGCGCGGGCACTGGGGCCTTCGGTGGAGCTGACCGCACGCATGCGCGCGGGCACTGGGGCCTTCGGTGGAGCTCCCTATGGAGCCACGAACGTGTGAGGGGTGTGCCGAAATGGTCGCATGCGGGCGCGGGCACTGGGGCCTTCGGTGGAGCTCCCTATGGAGCCACGAAACGTGTGAGGGGTGTGCCGAAATGGGTGTGGGTGACGCATGCGGGCGCGGGCACTGGGGCCTTCGGTGGAGCTCCCTATGGAGCCACGAAACGTGTGAGGGGTGTGCCGAAATGGGTGTGGGTGACGCATGCGGGCGCGGGCACTGGGGCCTTCGGTGGAGCTCCCTATGGAGCCACGAAACGTGTGAGGGGTGTGCCGAATGGGTGTGGGTGACGCATGCGGGCGCGGGTACTGGGGCCTTCGGAGGAGCTCCTATGGGGCTACGAAACGCTGTACTGGGTGGGTGAAACGCAGGGAAGAGGGGGAGGAGGGAGGAGGAGGGGGAGGAGGAGGAGAGGAGAGGAGAGGAGACGCGGGGACCGTTTCTTCAAAACGAGGACCCAACACCACAGGATGGTTGGGAAAAATGCACACCTCCCAGCGATGCCAAGACACGGTGTTCTCTCGGGGGCGCGCAACCATGGATTAGCGCTCCATGGATTCGGCGCGCTGTCGCCAGATCCATGAATCGGAGGGGCTGCCCTCCCCAAAACGCCCCTCGTGCCGCTTCAATCGGCGGCGGAAATCCGCGATCTCCCATGGAAACGGGACCAGTCGCTACTCCACGTCCCCCTGACCCACGTTTGCGATCGCCCGATTCTCGCTCTGCTCCAGTTTCGAGGTGCTCCGTTGAGCCGTTCTGCGAACCGTCGTCTGGCCTGCCCCCGTGCGCCCCCTCGGCAGGCCTCGCGTCCTCCCCAGGGACGCCCCGTTCTCCCTGCGGGGGTCGACGGAACTGGCTGTCGGGCCTCTCCAACAGGAAGGCGCCCGCTTCAGATTGGCATCTGGGAATCCATGGGCACCTGCTTTCAACGAACGGTGGGTGGCCACCACCAGACGCCTACCTCAGAGTGGAATCCGAGAGTCCAAAGACCCCTGCTTTCAAAGAGCGGCGGGTGGCCACCACGGTCGATGGAGGGATCCGACTTGCTTCACGAGCACCTGCTTTCAACGAACGGTGGGTGGCCACCGCGGTCGGTGGGAGAAGAGGAGGAGCAGGCTGAGGACCTCTTGGCAAGGAGAGCAGGGCGGGCAGCCTCTGGCTCCCCTCGTTGGGCACCCCGCAGCGGAAGAGAGGACAACTCCACCTCTTCCTCTTCCTCGTCTCTCCCCTCACTCTCAAGTCCCTCTGCGCCTCCGCCTCCTCCTCCTCCTCCTCAGCCTTATCTCCCCCTTTCAAACACCCGCAACGAAGAACACAACTCCACCTCGCGCTCCTCCTCGGGGTGAGGTGAATCCCACCAGCCCTTGCCCTCTGGGCGTAGGTGGTCTAGGGCGGTTTCTCTTCCAACCCCTCCCTCTTCCCCTGCGGGGAGGGGTTATCACTGTCTCCTGTTGATACACACTCCCTCCCCCACCCGGCCGGCGGCCGACACGGAACCATGCCAACCCCATGAGGGCCCCCCCCTCCACCACCCTTATCAGAAACCAATACACAAACGCACTCTGCCTCCACATTTGGAGCATGCGCGGCCGCCCGGCGACCATTTTGCATTGGTATTTTACAGGGACGGCTGGGGTGCCAGCAGATCCCAGCCCGCCTTCTGGGCGCAGGTGGTCGACCACTGGTTTGACGCTGGTTTGACACATCAGTGGCTGCTGCCTTTTCGCCTTACCGTCTCCGATGGGATCTTGAAACCTCCACATGGCTCCAACATCGGGCACCGTGCCGCACCTGGCGCGCCTGGCTCGCTTGGGCCTCCAAGGTGTCCGGTGCATCTGGAGTATGTGGCGTCTGCGGCGTTCTTACGCGATATGCTGACGCCCAGGTGTTACGTATGTGTTGGGAGGGCGGGTGGGAGTGAGCAAGATGGCTTGCGGAAAGGTGGGAAGTTTGAGCCTTCCCACTACCCCATCCGCTGGATCTGGAGGGGAGGGGTTCGCGAACGGTCAGAGCATCTAAGATGGCCCAAGACAGCTCCAAGAAGGCCTCAGAGAGCCCAAGATGACCCCCAAGATGGCTCACGATGGACCAATATGGCTCAATATGGCTCCCGAGATTCTCCACGAGGCCCCAATACCGCTCCAAGACGGCTCCGAGTGGCCACGGAGCCTCCCCAGGGAGGCCGCCAAGAGGCCCACATCCTTGAAACACCTAAGGGAAATCAGAGAGTTGTGCCTTCTCGCCGTTTTACTTTCGATGGCCCTCCGAGGACTCAGGAACGCAAGACGCTCCGAGAGGTCCCCGAGAGCGCCAAGAGGCCCCCAAGACGCACCAAGAGGCCTCCAAAAAGCTTCCAACAGACATCCGACGAGACTCTGAAAAGCAACTCGCCCGAGCATCGTTTCTGGATGGGCTGGTGGGGATGCGCGAAGCGTCAAGCGCTTCCAAGTTTTGGCTCACCCGCAAGAGCCCTGCCACACACGCACAGACGCGGCCCCACCGCGTTCGTGCCCCGACTCGCAGCGGAATTGCCTATGTGCCACCCGCCCACGTCTTTGCCACCTTGGCGTCCACTACCAGCGGCACCTTCAGCTCCAAACCATCTAGGAAAGGGCGTTCCATGATGTCCTTGACCACGGCCAACGCTGCGGTGGCGTTCTCGGCGGGACCCTCGAAGACGAGCTCGTCGTGAACCTGCATCACCATCGCGAATTCCAAGCGTCGCAACTCCTCGCACCCGTGAGCTTTCAGCATCGCCTCCACGACGATGTCCGCCGAGCCGCCTTGGATCGGCGAGTTTGTGGCCTGCCGTTTTGCCACGATGCGCTGCCACCGTTCCTCATGGAGCCAGGGCAACAAATCCCGGAGTGATCCTCACCTCGTCTTCGCGACACTTCGGTTGAGCACAATCTCGGGGGCTCAAGCGAGCGAGGTAGGCGGAAAGGAAGAGGTGAATGAGGAGGGATGGGCGGGGAAGGAGGAAGAGGAACTACATCGGGAGGAGGAGTAGCCCGCCCGCTGGAGCCCATGGGGCTCACTGGAGCCTTTGAAACTGCGGATCAAATTCGGGGCACCACGCCATCCCGCCGGCAGTGCCACGAATGCAAAGCAGGACCTTGGAGGCCGTCCAGATGCGGTCGGAGTAGATGGGGCAGAAGATCGAAACGTGGGATCGGATTTATCAAGGTCCAGATCGCACCGTGTCGCCGATGCATCGGCGGAAACCGACAACAAATGATGTTGGGCAAGCGACTTTTGCCCCGACCGGGCAACGTCCGCGGCGACACAAACAACGAGTCCTGTCAATGGGGGGAGGCGCTGCCGCCAATCTTCGTTCCGTGTTTTGACGAGTCCATTTCGGATCTCCAGATCCCAAGCCTGCGTCGGGGGAAAACGACAAGAGACAACAAAGAGGGTGATTCAACCGCTTCGAATCGCCCACAATTGCCATCGCTCGGTCGCCCATTCCCCGTGGCATGTTTCGGCTTCTTGCGCTTACTTTTTGCAAGCTGATCCAGAGGTCTCCTCGCTGGTCCTCGCCGGGGAATACATGCACACGTCCCCAAAAAGGCAAACGCAAGACGTGAACGTGATGTGCGGCATCTCACGGGATCCAGAACCCTCCAGCAGCAGCACCGCTGTCGCGCTGCGATATGCGCGCCGCTAGCCCGCGCTGATGGCTTGGGGCTACTACTCCCCCCGCAATCCTGGACCCCTCAGTCTGCAGATTGCCCGCAGACTACCTGACGATACAACGGCTTAGAATCGCCGCAAGACGCGAGCGTGGTACGCGACAACGCACGGGATCCACAACTCTCCCGCAGCATCACTGCTGTCGCGCTGCGATGCGCACCGCTGGCCCCAAACGCTACGATAATCGTCGCAAGACGCGAGCGGGGTGCGCGAAAGCACTCCCGGAATCCGGGGCCCTCCGGCAGAATCGCTGCGTCATCGCGCTGCGAGGCGCGCGCCGCTGGCCCGCGCTGATCGCATAGGGGGCCACTTCCCTCCGCAGTCCTGGACCCCCAGTCTGCAGATGGCCCGCGCGCTATACCTAACGCCCATCGTCTTAGTGGGCACGACCGAAAGGGGATGGCTATACATGGCGGGGCAGCGAGGGCTGCCGAGAAGCCTTGTGGGGCCTCGAAAGATCTTTCGGACTCAGAGGGGGGCCTCGAGGGCTCCAAAAGGGCACCTTTCTCCCCCCTGCTGCTCGCCCTCCAATTCTGAGGGGGGACGGGGGGTCCAGCTCAGGGGGGAGCATCGAACCGGAATCCGCGATGGATTGCTAATGGATCGGCGAACAAGCTTTCGATGCGGAGGCCGGCCGCACGTTCCTGGGCGGGGCCCCAGTCGCGGATGCGTGGGCGATTGAATTCCTGGGCGGGGCGGGCAATCTTGCAATCAAGCCCTCATCGGCGATGAATGGTCGCTTGGGCGTCGATGCGGTGCCCCCTAAACCAAACCCCCCACAAGGGTAAACCAAAACAATGTTCTGCGTTTCCGTGTCGCGTTGCCACCAAAACAACCCGATCGCATGCCCAAAACTGCGTTTGGCGCATAACCCAAATGGTGATTGGCCAATCGTACCCCCCCGGACGAAAACACAACGAAAACGCAGTGGCAAAGAACACGACTCACTAGTTAGACCAACTGAATTATCCAGGCATGCAGCCTCACCATCTGCGGGCCCGAGTGCCGGAAGGCAGGCGGGACGAAGGAGGGGCAGGTCCTCTGGGTAAACGACGCGTGCGTGTCAGAATTGGCGCGGGGACGCCATGCGGCCATGCGGACCCTCCCGCTGAGGCCATCGGTGGAGCTTCCGATGGGGCTGTGAGGAGCGTGCCGACATCAGTGCGGGGTTTCGGTGAATCTCCTTTGGGACCACGACCCGCGGGATGGGCGTGCTGGAGTGGGGGCGCTCCCTACGGGGAGCTCCCTGGGGGGTCCCTACGGGGCCACGAATCGCGTGAGGGGTCTGACGACTTGGATGTGGGGCCTCCCCGCGGACCCTGCCGCAGGAGCTCCCTACGGGGCAACGAAACGTGTGAGGGGTGTGGCGACATGGGCGCGGGACCGCCATGCGGACCCTGCCGCTGGGGCCTTCTAGAAGTCAAACAATCCACCCCCACAGTAACCACCCCGACATGCGAAGTCGTTTAGTAAACGCGCCCAAAGAAGGAATCGAACAGGGCAACACTGTTGAATAAACGCCCAAGGCCGTTTGATAAACGCCAATTATCGGGTCCCGGTGATTGTTCCTCCGTTGACCTTCGGTGGGGCTCCCTACGGGGCCACGAAACGCGTGAGGGGCGTGTTGAATCTAGTGCGGCGATGCGGACCCTGCTGCTCGTGGTCTCGGTGGAACTATCCATGGGGCCACGAAACGTGTGAAGGCGTACCGAAATGGGGGGCAAGGGCTGTTCGAATCGATCCTATCCTTCCGCAGCCGGCTTGAGATATCGAGCGTAGCCATAGCAAAGAGGCCTCCGCCTTCCCTCGCGCGCCCGCGTAGCTTTTCGTGGTCGCGGAGCCGTGGTGAACAATGCACGGACCGAGGGTACATCCCCAACCCAAGTAGGGCTCTGGGAAAACTCGCTGTCGAATCGCATCCCCAACCCAAATTAGGGCCCCCGGGAAGATACTGAGAATCAAAAACAATGGCAACAGTGATCGGCACGAAACTTTTAGGACATAGTCTAAAACATCTCGTGGGTGACGAAGGTGAGCGGAACGATAAGTGTAATCGGTTCGAATCCTATTGTGGGGCGCTGCGAACTAAGTGGTATTGCTGAACATACAACAAACAAGAGGGCATGCGAACCCCATCGCGCCCGCAGCCACAAACAAACATGTACAGCAACACTCGGCAAATCTAGCACCCATTCGACAGAGCGTGGTGCATAAAGAGATGATGACAATCTGGAATACGATGACCTAGCACGGTGTGATAGTTAGCGTGGTTACGAATCTGCCGGATTGAACACTCATCTGTACGAGACGTACACAAACTTCCAATATCATATCGCAACTTAGGTCGGAAACGAACGGGTCTGGACGAATCCGTCTGGAGGAAGCTATAACAGCTCTAAGAACATGGAAATATATTCGTTCGAAGGTTCCCTGAAAAGGCGCCCCAGAAGATCCTCCGAAGAGGATCCCCAAAAGAAGACCACAAGGGCTCTCCCAACTGATCCCCCAAAGGCACCCCAAGGGTACTCCGATAAGATATTCCCAAGGATCGCGGTCTGGCCGTCCCTTCATCCTCCAGGCGAGGGCATGGTTCCCCCGTCCAGGTCCAGGGCTGGCACCAAAATGGCCCGCCCGACAAAGGTAAGGATCAAACGAGCATTGGAGGCAAAGGTAGGGGCCACTCAAACGGTAAAGGCAACAGTGGTTGGAGTCAGAACGCAAACAAGAGGCACGACATCTGCAGGATGAAATGTCATTGGACATCCGTATAGATTTATCCATGTAGGGAAACGCCGCTCAGGGAAAGGAAGCCATCCCAACGAATAGGCCTGGGATCAAGACTCTTCGGGTCCCCGGTGGTCTTGGAGCGCGCAGGGCGATTGAAACCAAGGTGGCGGAAAAGAGCCAGATCAATGCGACCCGCGCTCCCCAGGGGAGCTCGCGGCTCTGCTTCCAGGCAGCAGCTTTCCGAGCGAAAGCGACGGCGAGTCAAGATTCGAACGAGCGTCCCTCACGCGAGTCAGCTGAGCATGCCGAAAGCTCCCCCGGGACAGAAGCACAGGTCCACAATGCACTTGCTTTTGAGCATGATGCTGCGGCGTTCTCCACCGACGGTGGCAACGACGACGGCGCGCCGAGCGAACCCCATGGAAACTCCAATGGAAACAGGCCTTCAAACGGGCCCTGTGGCCGAGCAGGGCGACGATTTCCGCCGCTGTCCTGAATGGTTTCTGATGGCTGGCTCAGATGACGAGGGCGACGGTCCCAACCGCGCCCGTCGCAAGGCCGCCGAGAGCTTTCCAGGGGCGACACTATTCGTGATGACGGTGTGCTTGATGTTGCGCGTGGTGCCGCTTCGTGCAAGCATGGTTTGAAATGTGCGGCGCGTCTTTCCATGTACCCGCAAGCGCGCCAAGTGCGCGTCGGCCAATCGACGGGCTGATAATCGCACGGACAATTCTGATCTGAATCGTGATTGAGCTGAGAAAAGGTGATCTCAGCACCAGCATGTTTCTGGACAAAATCTCACAAGAACGGAACACAGTCGCGTTATTTGGCGACTTCGCGCCGAGATACTCCCAGGTCCATGCAGATTCTGGAACGTTTGACCACGTTTGCAAGGGGTCTTTCGCGAAACATTTTCGCGCGGCGAGGTCGAAAGGTAAAGGGGGCGAGACAGCGCCGGGAGGTCCAACGACGCGGATTGGGCGCGACGACGCACCGATACATCTGATCGGCCACAACGGCACGAATACCGATGTTGTAGGATGTTTCAGCGCGTCCGAAGAGGCAGCTGCCGCACTTATCAGCACGGGCAGACTCCCGAAACGAAAAACGCACGTCCCAAAGCCGCGGACAGGGAAAGGACAAACACTCCAGCGCCACGAAACATGCGCATGTGTCGATCGGACAAAAAATCACGCAAATCACCCCACGCCGACCATTGCAGTCAGCTGCCCCCCGGCCGCTTGAAGGAACGCCTGAATAATTGAGAGTTAAGATTCCCGCTAGGATGAGGGCAATTTAGGACACCAGCCCTGAGGGCGAGCCTATGTGGCGGCGCCCAACGTGGAGAAATTCCAAGCGCCAGTGCGACATTTGCCAAATAATTCCGCGCGCGCGCAAGAATCGCAACGGACTACGCA